TCTCAAAAATAAACATTAAAAAATATTTTTTTTAAATAAAGAGGAAAAAGAAAAACATTCATTTTATGAAGCCAGCATTACCCTCATGTCAAAGCCAGACATAGAAACCATTAAAAAAAGAAACTGACAGGCCAATTCCTAATGAATATTGATGCAAAAATTCTCAAGAAAATACTACTAAACCGAATTCAACAGCACTTTAAAAGGATCATACACCATGACCAAGTGGAATTTATTCCTGGGATGTAAAGATGATCCAACATACAAAAATCAATTAATGTGATACCTGAGACTGAAGGATAAAAATCAAATGATCATCTCAACAGATGCAAAAAACTAATTTGATAAAATTCAACACCCTTTCATTAAAAAACTCTCAGCAAACTACTAGAAGGATATTACCTCAACATAATGAAGACCATATATAAAAAGTACACACCTAATATTATATTCAATGATGCAAAACTGAATGCTTTTCCTCTAAGATCATGAAGGCAAAGATGCCCACTCTTGCCACTTCTATATCCGGCATATAGAAAACTGTATGAAGACTCCACATAAAAACTGTTAGAATTAATAAACAAATTAGGTTTTCAGTTTGCAGTTGCAGGAAATGAGTTGCAGGAAAAATGAGCTGTGATTCTTTACACTAACAATATTCTGAAAAGGAAATTAGAAAAACAATACTATTTATAATAGATTAAAAGGACTAATATACTTAGGAACGCACTTAACTAAGGAGGTGAGAGACTTGTACACTGAAAACTGTGAAACACTGATGGAAGAAATTAAAGATACACAAGATAAATGTTAAGATATTCTGTGTTCATGGATTTGGAAAATACTGTAAAAATGTCCATACTCCCCAAATTATCTACAGATTCAATGCAATCCCTGTAAAAATCCCAATGGCATTTTCTATAGTAATAGAAAAAACAATTCAATGAGCCAAAATAATCTTTAGACAGTACAACAAAGCTGGAGGCAACACATTTCCTGATTCCAAAATAGATTATAAAGCTGCAGCAGTTAAAACAGTACGGTACCGGCACAAAGACATTCATATAGCCAACAGAACAGAATAAATTCACGTATACACAATTAATATATAACAAACGTGCAAGACTACTAACAGAGAAGGGTAAGTCTTAACAAATGATGATGGGAGAAGCATCTGCTGGCTCAGTCAGTTAAGCATATGACTCTTGGTTTTGGCTCAGGTCATGATCTCAAGGTTTCATGAGTTCAAGCCCCATGTCCAGCTCTGTGCTGACAGTGTGGAGCCTGCTTGGGATTCTCTGTCTCCCTCTCTCTCTGCCTCTCTCCCACTTATACTCTGTCTCTCTCAAAATAAACTTAAAAAGAATGATGATGGGAAAATGGAACATCCACATGCAAAAAAAAGAAATTGGACTCTTACCTTATATCATACAGAAAAATCAACTCAAAATGTATTAAAGACTTAAATATAAGACCTGACATTGTAAAACTTCTACAAGAACACATAGGGGAAAAGTTTCATGACACCGGTCTTAGTGATGATTTCCGAATATGGCATCAAAAGCACAGGTAACAAAAGCAAAAATAGACATACAGGACTAGGACTACATCAAATTTAAAATCTTACACATAGCAAAGAATCAACAGAATGAAAAGACAATCTATGGAATGGGAGAAAACATTTGCCAACCATATATATGATAAGGGGTTAGTATCTAAAATAGGTAGGAATAAAACCTAATAACCTAATTTAAAAAATTAGTAGGGTGCCTGGGTGGCTCAGGTGGCTAAGCATCCAACTTCAGCTCAGGTCATGATCTCATGGTTCATGAGTTCGAGCCGCACATTTGGCTATGCTCTGACAGTGCAGAGCCTGCCTGGGATTCCCTATCTCCCTCTCTGCCCACCCCTGACTTGCTCACTTTCTCTCTCTCAAGATAAATAAACTTTAAAAATTAAGTAAGTAAATAAATAAGAACGTGAATAGAAGTTTCTCCAAAGAAACCATACAAATAGCCAAGAAGTAAATGAAAGATGCACAATATCGCTAATTATTACAGAAACATAAATCAAAACCATGATGAAACATTACCTATTATGGTTAGGACAGCTGTCATTAAAATAAAGGGGGGGGGGCAAGTAACTGTTGGTGAGGATGCTAAGAAATTGGAACTCTTGTACACTACTGGTGGGAACGCAAAATGGTGTAGCCACTCTGGAAAACAGTATGGAGGTTCTTCAAAAAATTAAAAATAGAACTATCATATGATCCATCAATCCCACTTCTGGGTATTTATCCAAAAGAATTGAAATCAAGATCTTGAAGAGATATTAGCACTCATGTGTTCATTGCAGCACTACTCATAATAGTCAAGATGAAAACAACCTAAATCCATAGATAGATGAGTGGATAAAGAAAATGTGGCATATATGTACAATGGAATATTATTCAGCCTTAAAAAGAAGGAAATCTTGCCATATGTGACAACATGGATGAACCCTGAAGACACTATGCTACATGAAATAAGGCAGTCACAGGACAAATACTGCATTATTTGACTTATATGAGGTATCTAAAAAGAGCAAAACTCATAGAAGCAAACAGTAGAATGGTGGTTGCCAGGGGCTGGGCTGAGAGGGAAATGAGCAGTTGTTAATCAACAAGTATAAAGTTTTAACAATGCAAGGCAAATAAGTTCTAGAGATCTACTATATAATGCTGTGCCTATAGTTAACAATACTATACTATACACTTAAAAATCTGTTAAGAGGGTAGATCTCATGTTAAGTGATCTTATCACAATAAATTTTAAGAAGAAAGGGGGGGAAAAAGCAGTTGAAAAATTTATATCTATATCCTACAAGCAGCTTGAGGCTGCATACTGCTCCACGTTCTCATCTATTCATCTTCAGACTTAAATGTTTGTCCATGTTGCAGGTGTCATAATGGTATCCTACTGCAGTTTTAATTTGCATTTCCCTGATAACTAATAAAATTAAATTCATTTTACATGTTAAAGAAAAACTAATAGTATTTCTCTGTACCAACAATACTAATTAGAAAATTGTACAGGCTCACAATAGCAATACAGCGTGTTTTAAAAATTTAGAAAGTAACTGAACAAAAAACAAAAATTGCTAGGAACAACAGATTGCAAATGATGTGTCTGGTTAAAAGACAGCCTGAAGGTTACAGATTTATTATCCTGTAGGACAATAACTAGTTTTTATATCCCAGTTAGTGATGTTATTCCTGCATTCTTTCTTTCCATGACAATATGAACTCCATTTCTCCCAAATAATGAACTAAATAAATCCTTCAAATGTGTTTATCATATATTTATCAAAGTCATATTAAACTTCTGAAAAGTTATAATTTTTTTTTTCAGTTTATTTGTTTGAGAGAGAGAGACGGGGAGAGGGAGAGAGCGCATACACACACGTGCAAGCAGGGTAAGGGCAGAGGCAGAGGGAGAGAGAGAATCCCAAGCAGGTTCCACACTCAGCTGGAGCCCAATGTGGAACTCAATCTGACAATTGTGAGATCATGACCTGAGCCAATACCAAGTCAGATACTTAACCGACTGAGTCACCTAGGTGCCCTGAAAAGTTATATTTTTGAAAAGTTTTGAAAATGTTATACTCTGGGGGCACGTGGGTGGTTCTCAGTTGAGAGTCTGACTCTTGGTATTGGCTCAGGTCATGATCTCACAGTCTGTGGAGTTGAACCTTGGGTCAGGCTCCATGCTGACAGTGTAGAGCCTGCTTGGGTTCATTCTCTTTCTCTTTCTGCCCTTTCTCTGCTCATGCAGGTGTGTGTTCTCTCTCAAAATAAATAAATAAACATAAAAATAAAAAAGAAAATGTTATTCTCTTAAAATTTTGAAGATCCCACTGAGATGTCCAAATGGACTTAACCGCAGGATGCAATAAAGCATGTGACTTGAGAAGTATTCCTCATAGGCTATTTAAGTCCCAGCAGTCTTCCTTTCTTGGCTGTCTCAGTAAATCCCAAGCAGCAATAAAATTCTACTTTCATTCACTTTCTCTCCACTACACCCTCCTTAGTGTGTCCTGGGCTTGTTTTGGGGCCAAATCCAGTTTGGTTCTGGTTTGTGTAAAGCTGGTACATTATAGTGATTAGGAATCTGATATTATGGTGGTATCTATATGGATAATGGACATCTGTTTCAGTTATCTGGGGATCCCTTCATTCTCTGTTGAGATGACAGAAGATCTGGATTGTTATCTTCCCTTTGAGTCTGTTTGTAATATCTTGTGCCTCCTAGAAAGGAAAAAAAATCTTGGGGGGGGGGGCTGGGTGGCTCAGTCAGTTAAACGTTCGACTCTTGGTTTCAGTTCATGATCTTACACTTTGTAAGATCAAGTCCTACATCAGACTCTGTGCTGACGGTACAGAGCCTGCTTAGGATTTTCTCTCTCTCCCTCTTTCTCTGCCTCTCCCCTGCTTACTACCTTTCTCTCAAAATAAATAAATAAACTTTAAAAAATTAAAAAAAAAACTCAATTTGTGAGTTCTTTAGTTCTTCATTAATGTATCTTGTGGCTAAATTGTAAAACTAAAGTTGTATCTATAACTTTTTTGTTATTTTTTCCTATAACATTTTTTGAGATATAATTGACATAAAAACTTTTACCTGACAAAAAAATAAGTTTTAAATACTTTCCTATTTCCAGAAGGTATTAATAAACTTAACTGTGAAGGCTCTTAAAGGAGTTCACACCAAGACCATATGCAACCAAAAAAAAATAAAATAAAATAAATAAACTGCATTTTGTCAAAATTAAAAACTTTTGTGCTTCAAAGGACAAAATCAAGAGGGTGAAAACACACTCACTAAATGGGGGAAAATAGTCACAAATCATATACTGTTAAGAGACCTGTATTTAGAATATATAATTAACAGAAAACTCAATAATAAAAAGGCAGACAACCCAATTAAAACATGGATAAAATCATTACCCTACATCTCATTCACCTGAACAAAGGCCTCTCGTCAGCTCTCTTTCAACCATCCAGGGCTCTTTTCCTTGTTCCAATAAGGAAATCACAGCTGGCTTAGAATTGGAAAGTCCTGATCACAAGAAAAGACATGGGACATGGTTATGCTGTGGGTGTCCCAGAAATCAGATCCAGTCCCTTGGTGAGAAGAAAGAGATGCCACTGTAGGAAGGACCAAAGAAAGATGAAGGTGAAGCTTCAGCCCACTGGAGCTGCTCATTTCCAATTCTTCTATTCCATTCCAACTCAAACCATTCCTTAAGGAACAGGGAGCAGAAATTTAGCTGGCTACTTGAAACAAATAATTCACAATGGAGAAAGGAGACATTCCTGAGGGCAGACTCTGAATTTTGGGGGATAGTTATCCTTACCCACTGAAACCAGGTTGCTGAAATTCTCCAACATCACTTCTTTGTATAAATTCATCTGACCAGAGTCCAGGCATTCCCATTCCTCCTGAGAGAAGTTTATAGAAACATCCCTGAACATCATTGATCCCTGAAACAACAAACACGCTTTCACAGTAGAAGAAGATAAGAAAAAGATGGTAGTAGGGATGGTGGTAGAGGGCTCTACAAAAAGGAACAGAGATTGTGAATCAAATTGAAGGGGCCAGAACTCTATTAGATCAGTAGAAAACATATGTCTTGTATACAGAGGGATATATCTAGGAACGTACAAGTAAAATTTTCCAATGACATGAAATAGCAAAAATGCAGCTCAACGCTTGATGCCTGGCTATAGTGAAATGTACGTAAATGTGAATTCCTTCTCTTCCCATATTTTCCTCTTAAGACCTCAAAGAAGGAACTATGTGATGAATTTTAAAACACTTTAAAGTTTCAGAATCAGGGAAAAAAAGAACTTTCTAAAATTTCCAGGAAGAAAAAACCCAGAATTTTCCAAAACTTCCAGGAAGAAAATATGGATTATAAAAAAAATTTTCAGGAATCAAAGTCACAGTGGACTTTAAAAAAAAATTTTTAATGTTAATTTATTTTTGAGACAATGCAAGAGGCAGAGTACAAGCAGCAGAAGGGCAGACAGAGGGAGACACAGAATCCAAAGTGGGCTCCAGGCTCCAAGCTGTCAGCACAGAGCCCAACGCGGGGCTCGAACTCACGAGCCATTAGATTGTGACCTAAGCCGAAGTCAGACGCTTAACCGACTGAGCCACTCAGGTGCCCCAGAGTGGACTTTTAAAAAGCACCACTTGAAGTAAGAAAAAAAGTGACTCCTTTAATATTACAAAGGAAAATGAATTCTGGCCTTGAGTTCTATACCCAGTCAAAGCTAAAGTGAAGATTATATACCAAGCAAGATTAAAAACCAAGCTAGTGTGAAGATTAAGTCAACACAATTATAGATTGGCAGGAAAAGACAGAATTATCTCCTATGTAGCTTTTCATTTTAGAACTTTAAAAATGTTTATTTATTTATTTTTGAGAGAGAATGGTGGGGGGAGGGGGGACAGAAAGAGGAGACAGAAAGAATCCCAAGCAGGCTCCATGCTGTCATCACAGGGCCTGATGCAGAGCTCGATCTCACAAACCATGAGATCATGACCTGAGCTGAAATCAACACTCAGACACTTAACCAACTGAGCTACCCAGATGTCCCTCTCCTATGCAGCTTTTTAAAAGAAGCTCCTGGCCTATGTGCTCCATCAGAACTGCAGAGTAAATTAAGAAAAAGAAAAATACTATATTCAGAAATTACAGAACATGAAAATACATGACAAAGTCCCAAGTATAACTGTGAAAGGCAAGTCATAGGACAATATCTGGCAGCAGAACTAGAGAGCAACATCTAAGAACAGGAGGATAGAGGACTATGAGAAACATGTCTCCAAAGAAAACTAAAGAACTAATGTTTGATCACATGGAAAATATTTTTGATAGGCAACTGAAAGCAATGTTGGTAGATTTGGGGGAAAAATAGCAACACACATATGGAATGAGACAAATAAAGAAACAAAGCAGTTTACCCTAAGAAAACTGTAAAAGTTGTACTAAAAAGAATCTAGCCTCTAGTATACTACTTGGCTCAGATTAATAATATCTGTGAGGTGCTAATAACATGAATATCAATGATTTAAAGAAAAAATGTGTGGCACAAAAACACTCAGATCAATGGAACAGAATAGAGAACCCAGAAATGGACCCAC